AGCATATGTTCCTGAAATAAAGACGAAAGAAAATAATTTTCTTATGCAAGAATTTTTTTTACATATATAAATATACTTTTAAATAGATTCATATCCGGACATAAATAATTTAACTGTGTAATGCTTTGGTAGTTCTCGAAGAAAGTAATTTTTCACTTGAGAAATTTTCTATCAACGTTTATTATTTAGAAGAAAAATGGGTTTTTACTTTAACTTACGTTTAATCCTCTTTGGACTGTTCTATAAGTAAAAAATGTACTTGCACTTTAAGGGAATTATTTACTTAAGAAATTGCTATGGTTGCATGAATACTATTCATTAGAGTTTTAAAATTATTTTATGATAGATAAGATGAAAGTAATAATCAATAGAGAAGATAATCTATGAACTTTTCTTATTTTTGTATAGAATGACAAGTATCAGATAAAAATCTTATCACTAAAAAGGAAATTAGTTTTTGTTGTTTTTTACGTAATATCTTGATACATTCTAATCACATTCTTAATACGAATATTTACGACAAGAAAATAGAGTATTTGAATCACATTCTTTGCAACTGCGACATTCAATGAATACAAGTTGAGTAAATACGTAAATAAATATATATATATAATCAATGGATGACGATCGTCAAGTTCCATAGAATACCAATATTCAAAATAGAATAAACAATAAAATAATTTAAATATCTAAATAAAACCTTTTATTTACTATAAAAATATAATACTTTCTAATTGTAAAAATGACATCAATCATTACCGTCATATAAGAGAGGCTAGTAGACAAGCATCATGGCTGCTCATACAACCAATATGAATTAAGTACTTGTGAAAAAAGAATTCATTACGTATTAAAATAATAATCAGTTTACGAATTTCAGTGAGTAACATTATAAATGGCTCAACATATAGCACGCCTTTCGCGTAAAACATCTTTGCTTTTGCTATGTGATATGCAAGAAAAATTTCGTCCAACGATTAAATATTTTCCTCAAATTATTGAAACATCAAATAAATTATTACAAGCATGTAAAATACTCGATGTTCCATATATAGTCACTGAACAATATCCAAAAGGTATATTATTTATTGAAAAACAAACAGATTTATTTTATTTTATAATAAATAGGTCTTGGCCGAACTGTTAAAGAACTTGAAATTGGTGATGAAAAACCATTTGAAAAAACACTTTTTTCTATGTGTACACCTGATGTTGCATCATATATGAAACAAAAAAACAAAGGTAAAAGAGAAAAAAACATTTTACTATCTCGTAAATAAATCGACTTTATTTATTATTATTCATATAGAATTTGACACGGCTATTATTTGTGGTATTGAAGCTCACGCATGTGTACTACAAACAGCAATTGATCTATTAGCACAAAATAAACGTGTTTATATCGTTGCTGATGCTGTTTCATCACGTTCTTTAACTGATAGGTACTTTACTTTCTAAGTCAATCTTATGTAATTACATATTTTGTTTAGAATGTATGCATTTGATCATATGCGTCAAGCCGGTGCTTTTCTTACAACATTTGAGTCAATAGTTTTGCAATTAACACAAGATGCTGGTCATCCAAAATTTAAACAAATTCAACAATATATAAAAACATCAGCAGCTGATACTGGTCTTTTAGCATTAAAAAATATTCCAAATTCATCTTCATAAAATATCCCACCGTTTTTTCTTTCTCGAATTTTATTTTATTAGAAAAAGGAATCCAATCTTTAAACTAAAATTGATTCATATTTTAGATGACTGTTGATCTTTATTTACTCACAGCTGGTTCGGCTCTCACCGGTTTGATATTCTATTATTTTGGCGGTATGAATATTGTTATATAGAAATATTTTTTCGAAGTTTTTTGTTTTCTTTTTAAAGGAGCTGAATGGACTTTTTGGCATTTGTTTACCGTTCCACTTTTTACACTTGTTTTCGTTATTTTTTCATCACTCAGTGTTATTAAACGTTTTGTAAGTTTATTGTCTTCGTGTAATTTACTTTATATGAATTTATTAGAAATCTTCACCAAAATCTCCATCATCGAAAAAAATAATTCCATTGGAAAAAAATGGAGTTACAATTGTTTTTTGGTTCCGTTAAAGGAAATAGTCGAGTAAGAATAATACATAATTAACAAAAAATCTTTTTTAATATTTGTTGTCTTTTCATATCAGACATTTGCTCAGTCAACTTATGATAAATTATCGAAAGATTTAAATCGTCAAGTTATCATTCAGGATTTCAATGATGTTACTGATCCAGAAGAATTTCTTCAAACACAAGTATTAATCATTACCTTTTTTGTATATTTTTATTAATATAAATTTTATTATTAAGGCTAAAAATCAAAGAACATTGTTAGTATTTATTCCAACTTATGAAGATGCTACACCACCACCATCAGCTAAATGGTTTCTTTTACATTTACAAGAAGCAGCAACTGATTTTCGAGTTTCGAAAGGTGAACTTGAAAAGTTAACATATGCAATTTTTGGATGTGGCAATTCACTTTATTTCGAAAATTTCAATAAAGTAAAATCATAAAATATAAGAAATAAAATAAATATTGTGTTTTTGAAATAGGTAGCAAAAGAAGTTGATCGTTGTCTATCAGAATTAGGAGCAAAACGCCTTCTACCAACTGAATTAGCTGATGAAAATACAGCAAAGAGTATTTATGGAGGTAAAAATTCATTTTCATTGAACTGATAAAAAGTAATATTTTTTTCATTCGATTAGGTCAGGAAGGACATTATTCCAAATGGTCATCTAAATTAAAATCTGCTTTGGAAACACCAAAAACAGAAAAATGTGATTGTTCAAATGATACTTCAACAACAACATGTTGTAAAACAGTAACAAATGGTGATCATTCAATTAAAGTTAGAAACACAAAAAAAAAACATTGATTTCATTTGTAAATTATCGATTATTTTTAGAATGATGATAATAATAATGATGAAGATGAAGAAGAAGAGCCAAGAATCGAAAGTGATGATGACGATGAAGCTGGAGGATGCAAAGACGGTAATGATGATATTATCGATTTAGAAGACATGGGAGAATATATGGAAAATTCATCACCAACAAAAGTAAGATATTTATTATAAAAAATTCAATAGATATAAAATAGAATGTTTTCGTATAGACGCCCAAAGGTCCACCTAAAGAAATGGTTACTCCATTAATACGTAAATCATTAGAAAAACAAGGTTACAAATTAATTGGTAGTCATTCAGGTGTAAAATTATGTCGATGGACAAAAGTACGTATATATATATATAAATTTATTAGTAGATTTTATTTCATATTCATATCATTGGGTATTCTACAAGCGATGATAAAGATCTTAAAATCGAGATTTATTTGTTTCTTCTTTAATAGGTTAGTATAGAGAAAGTGCAATAAACTTAGTTTCTTCTATTCTCTCTAGAGAATATTGATCCGTTTTTAATGATAAATTGAAAACGACACTTAGTATATATTTATATTATTTCATACTTAAACTATATAGAGATTATATGAATAGATTTGATTATATTTTCTAGTCAATGTTACGAGGACGTGGTGGATGTTATAAACATACATTCTATGGAATTGAAAGTCATCGTTGTATGGAAACTACACCAAGTCTTGCATGTGCAAATAAATGTGTTTTTTGTTGGAGGTCCGTTTATTATAATTTTTTTCTTCGAAATATTTTAATTTTATCTTATACAGACATCATTCAAATCCAGTCGGTACATCATGGCAATGGAAAACAGATGATGCTAAAACTGTAACTCAAGGTGCTATAGATAATCATTATAAGATGATTAATACATTTAAAGGTGTACCCGGTGTATTACCTGCACGACTTGCTGAAGGTATTTGATAAAATGATTTTTTTGTTCAATCATTTTTTGTTGATATTTTTCAGGTATGAAAATACGTCATTGTGCTTTATCACTTGTTGGTGAACCAATTATGTATCCACATATCAATGAATTAATTGAGATACTTCATTCAAAACAAATCAGTTCATTTCTTGTTACAAATGCACAATTTCCTGATGAAATTAGAACCTTACAACCAGTTACACAATTATATGTCAGTGTCGATGCAGCAACAAAAGAATCATTAAAGAAAATTGATCGACCATTATTTCGTGATTTCTGGGAACGATTTTTAGCTTGTTTACGAGCATTGAAAGATAAAGTAAGATGAAAGATGAAAGTTTTTGTTTTTAAACTCATTTATTCTAGGGTCAAAGAACAGTATATCGATTAACATTAGTAAAAGGTTTTAATACCGAAGAAATTGAACAGTATGCTAAATTAGTTGAACTTGGTGATCCAGACTTTATTGAAGTTAAAGTATGGAAAACAAAAATAATGTTTTCAAAAAATTGAATATTTTATTTTAGGGAGTAACTTATTGTGGTGATTCAGGTGCAAGTAGTTTAACAATGGCTAATGTTCCATGGCATGAAGAAGTTGTAACATTTGTTCAAGCACTTTGTGAACGTTTACCACAATATGAGGTAGCATGTGAACATGAACATTCAAATTGTCTTTTACTTGCTAATACTAAAGTAAGAATAAATATTTTGTATTACAAAAAAAATTATTTTTCTTGTTCTTTTTAGTTTCGTGTTGATGGTAAATGGCATACATGGATTGATTATGATCGATTTCAAGAACTTGTTGCAAGACATAAAGCAACATCAGGTGCTGAAACTTTTACATCATTAGAGTATATGGCTGCCACACCTGACTGGGCAGTTGTTGGTGCAAATGAACGTGGTTTTGATCCAAGTGATACAAGATGGCATAGAAAATCTACAGCAAAAAAAGATTTGTCCGGTTGTTAATTTACGTTAATTTGTTGTTCTGTTTTTGTTTCTGTTTTTTTCTGTTTTTTCTTTTCGTATAATTAACAATCTCATTGATCGTGTGATTTGTAACAAAAAAAAAAAGAAACATAAAGTTTATTTATATGTTTTTTTCTAGATGGCATCTCGTGCACGTATAGAAAAAATGTCGGCCGAAGTGGTCGATTCAAATCCCTATAGTCGTTTAATGGCATTACAACGAATGGGAATTGTAAAAGATTATGAACGTATACGACAATTTTCAGTTATGATTGTTGGTGTAGGTGGTGTTGGAAGTGTAGCAGCAGA